TCATTTTTGGTATATCGCGAGTGTAACTTTCTCGTGCATACCCACTTACAAAGACAAAGCACTCTTTCACATTTAGCTACATTAAGAAATTGAAAAAGACTAACAAATCACGCTTTTATTCAAAATATAATCATCACAAGATCAAAATTTTGTTTGGACCACCACTATACTATATTTTAAAGTATATCAGTTCGGAGAATCAGATCCCGAGGCATATAAGTAAATATATGTCAAGATATTTAGATGCTAAGCTATCATCATCACATAGCATGTGAATTCTCTCACAATTATACGTCTTGTTTAAGAATTAAACAACCCATTTACGTATGTTATATAGCCAAACAAAGAACTCCCATGAAAACAAACCCTATGGTGGAAGATCGAATTGCTATTTATATTAGTTATGAGATTTCTTTGATTACCGACTTAAATGCCTCTCATCTAAACACTTTTAATCTTTTAGATAATTTTCGGAAAACAATTGATGGATTTACAAAAAAATGTTTGCCATTTTTATGGGAAAATTTCATAAAATGTTACATATTGAGATTTAATTGCGTGAATGTCACATTAAAAAAAATTCTTTAATTCCTTCCGTCGCCGTTCACCCTCTGCATACAATGTATCAAGTTCTTTAGTCTTCTTTGCCAAAAGCATGATTCTTCTCTCCATTAACATGATCCAATGAACACAAAGGAAGTTTTGGTCTCGTCATTCTTTTTTTGTTTTTTTTTGGTCACATGTCTCATCATTCTTTATTTTGTCATATTATGACATTATCTCAAACATACTTCATTCTCTTGGTCTCGACGTACAACTCAAGTTTTCTCTTTTCTCACAAAATGAGAAAATAAGATATGGTAAATTTGGATTATTCTCTGATTTAATTCAACACAAAACGGATTTGTGTATCTCGTATACAAACTATTAAGAAAACATACAATTTTAAAATCTCACTCTAGCTCTGAAAACGAAACTCATGCAACTCTGAAACGGATTTGTGAACCCTTTTGAATTTTTAATTGTCAAATCTTCGCTTTTTGGATTGGATATGTATGTTACCAAATTTTTGACGCTAGTGTGTATGGTGTGATCTTAGTATCATTCCTTGTTGATTTGTAGAGAGTGGTAAGGAAATATTAGTTGTTATGCTCCAACTTCCAAACTATCACCCACCACACGACTGCAAGTCACATGTGAAACTCTTGTTCAATTTCTCTTCACAATATTTCTTCTTTTCACCTTTTTCGGTTCCCTTTGGCTGATTTATACGCATGACATTTTTTTTGTTTCTCAAGAAGTTGGCGATTGATTATGGTTCATTCGTTACATTTTCCAAGCTTTTTTTCTCTATGTTTGAGTGCTTAAAGTTTATAGGCCAGCATTGAAGATTGCTTAGAGAGCTCCCGGATGATGTTAGAAGTTAGTGCTTTCAATTTTCTATGACATTATCTTTGCTTGGGAGTCCCACTCATATTTTGATCAGTTTTTGTTGCCATTGATCAACGTTCCTAGCTGGTAGTGAGCTTGGTTACTTGGTGGTCATGTTATAAGTGTATGTTTGTCGGTAGAAGAACTGAACCAGAGTATTAGGGAAGAGGTGGAAGAGAACACTGAATGCAACGCAAGTAAAACATTCGGTATCTGATTAGTGAATGATTAGAGAGGGTTAAAAGACTTGATGAGATGTTAGACTTGCAAAGGCAATTCAAATGCCCTAAAACATTGCATTTTGATGACGGAGTATGTTTAATATCTGAGAATCAAGCTTCTACAAATAAGCATAGTGATGAATCCTCTATGTTGTATATCACTCTATTGAGCTCACACAATGATGTATGTTACTTGGATTAGCCTTTGCCTGAAACAATAACCAATGGCATGAGACAATTATATAAGTAAAAAACATTGTGTACTTTTGGAATTCATGAGATGTTGGTCCGAATTGTTAAATATTTATGTGTATTGGAGTTACAAAATTGGAGTTGTTTTACCAACCGAAAGCACCTTTACAGACCAAAAGCATCTTTCACATGGCTTTCCTGGTTACTTGCAGTACTTGATAATTGTTTAATAAAGTTTGATTAGCCACACGAAACACTCACTATTCTCACGGGATAATTACGTTGCCATCAAAATTACTTAACTGAAAGAAAGTCCAAGTGAGAGATTACCTTTGTCGACAATGGCGTTAAATGTAGTCAAGATCTCCCGAGTCAGCGTTGCAACCGACTTGGCCGACCCGCTCCTTCTCCCACTAACTTTCTTTGATCTCATTTGGCTAAAACTCCATCCTACAGAACGAGTCACCTTTTACAAACTCAACGAGTCATCTCGGGACTACTTCTACTCTGTAATCCTCCCTAAGCTCGAATGGTCCCTTTCGACCGTCCTCACGCATTTCCTCCCACTCTCCGGCCACCTCAAGTGGAACCCACAAGATCCCAAGCCGCACATTGTCGTCCTCCCGCAAGACACTGTCTCTCTCACAGTGGCCGACACCGACGCTGATTTCTCTCGTATCTCTGGGAAAGGGCTTCGTCCAGACATTGAGTTACGCGGTCTGGTCCCCGTGTTATCAGTTTCCTCTGACTCGGCTTCTCTTCTTTCTCTGCAAATCACTTTTTTCCCGAATCAAGGCTTCTGTATAGGAACCACAGTCCACCATGTTGCCATGGACGGCAAAACAGCGGCAAAATTTCATAAAGCATGGGCTCACATCTGTAAACACGGAACCATACCGCAAGACTTTCAACTACCTACGCTTTTAGACCGGACGGTCATCAATATTCCGGCAGGACTCGTACCGAAGATCTTCGAACTTCTGCCTTATCTCTCAGAGGAAAAAGAAACCGCAAGATCCCTAACTCTGCCTCCTACCAAAGAGATCAGCGACGACGTTGTCCGAATCACGCTAGAGTTGACTCAGGAAAACGTGGAGAAACTCAAGGAGCGAGCTAAGAAGGATTTAACTCGGTGTGATCTTCACTTGTCAACGTTCGTAGTCACATACGCCTATGTGTGGACCTGCGCGGTGAAGGCCCGTGGAGGCGATGAAGATCGATTGGTTCGGTTCCTATACGCTGCTGATTTCAGAGACCGGTTAGACCCACCAGTTCCTGTGACATACTTGGGAAACTGTGTATTACCAATAGATTTGTATGGATACAAAGCGAAGACGTTTTTGGGAGAAGATGGATTCGTCAATGGCGTTGAAATTGTGAGTGATTCGGTCAAAGGTTTGGGTTCACTAGGAGTTGAGTCAATCTGGGAAGTGTACGAGGAAGGAACGAAGATGATGGAATTTGGTACACAGATGTTGTCTGTTACAGGGTCTACCCAGTTTGGAATATACGGGTCAGATTTTGGGTGGGGAAGACCTGTTAACACTGAGGTTATGTCCATTTACAAGAACGATGAATTCTCTATATCGAAGAGGAGGGATGAGACTGGTGGCGTGGAGATTGGTGTATGTTTGAAGAAATGCGAGATGAGTGTTTTTCTTTCTTTATTCACAAAAGGATTGGATGGTTGCAAAAAAATGAATTCTAAAAGTATTCACTTACAATGAGCATATTGGAATTTTAAGAAGCTTTGTTGGCAAAATATTTCTATAATAAGATGCTGTAATGGAAAACTGAGGAAAAGTCTTTCTCAATCTAATCATTAATGTAGATGTTCTGATCAACAAGTTTTACTACCTTACTGAATTTGGTTACAAAAGCTTGGTTTTAATTTTGTAAACCATTGTGGAATAAAGAAAGAAGAATGTCCATTTCAGTCTTCTTCAAGCACATTCCAATCTCCACGCCACCAGATTCGTCACGTTTCTCAGCCATCGAGATCGCCTCTCCTTGATCAATCGAGACGATATCAACTTTAGCGGGTCTTCCCCACCCGAAATCCGACTCGTATACTCCCAATCGGGTCGACCCGGCTACCGTCCCCATCTGAGAACATTCTTTTATGGAATCGAAACTATCTGCAACCTCCTTCGGGAACATCTCTACCTTTCGTGAACTCAATCCTTTCACCAGATCGCTGAGGATCTCAACCGCCGTTACGAATCCCTTCTCTTCCGAAAACTCCGCCGCCTTGCGGCCGTAACTACCCACCATAAACATGCAACTCCCAAAATATGTCGCCGGAAACGGCAGATCCAACCTCTCTCTGAAATCTCCTACGAAAAAGAAACTCACGGATCTCTCCCCGCTTCCTCCACGCGCCTTCACGAAGCATGTCCACACGTAAGCGTAAGCGATGACAAAAGTCGACAAGTCAAGGCACCGATCTGGACTCCTGACTCGTTCCCTGAGCTTCTCGATGTCATCGCGAGACAGCACGAGGGTGGCCAAGACGACGTTGTCTCCAATCTCTCTGGCTAGAAATGGAGTCAGGCTTTTGCTGGTTTTGTCTCCTTTAAGAGATCTCACCATCTCGATCACCTGCTCATCGAGTCCGGTCATGTCTTCGATCAACGACCGATCATAAGATGGAGTAAGATTCTCCGGTAGAGATACTCTGTTTCCGAGTTGCTCTTTGCAGATTTGAGCCCAAGTTTTGATGAACATTGTTGACGATTTGCCGTCCGAAACTGCGTGGTGAGCTGCAACGCCGATGGAGAATCCGTCGTTCGGGAAAAACGTGATTTGTAGAGATAAGGCGGTGGCTGAGTCATCGGAAACCGGTAACTCGGGCAACAAGGAGTGTATTCTTGTTGTTTCCTTGTTGATGTTTCCTCTACATATGAAAATACTCTCTCCTTGTTAAAAACTAAAATAAAATTAATTATGTTTTTGCTGTTTTTGACTCTTTAAATTCTGCATATTAGTTTTTTATTGGTTAAATTGTATTAAAATTTGTGATTTTATGTTAAAAATAAAAAATTAAATAATTTTTTAATTTGTGCGTAAAAATTTTAAAAATCATTTAAAATGATAAGAGTAGCAGTAATTTCGGTTTTTTTATGGCAAACCAATGATAGATACCCAGAAGTCTGCAATCTTTATTTTTCAACCAAAAATAAAATCCATTCACGTTTCTTTCCCACAAAAAGGAAAAAGCATACGTTGACGTGTCACCAAATGACTTACTTTACCACTATAATTGTCTCTCTATCTCCCACATTAAACTTAGA